GAGGAATAGACTCCCGCTTAGCGGCTTCCCTTAACACAATAATCTTCACCTCTTTAAGTCGGGAGTCAATCATTATCTATCTTCCTTATCTTCATAAACTGCATTATCTATTCCCTCAATATCGCATATATCATTCGTTATTACCATTTTGCCTCTAGGGGCTTATATTGAGTGATATTTTAAAATAATAAAGACATGAAATAAAACGATAAAACGATAATATTAAACCAGAAAGTTTACATTAACCGCAGTTAAACAAAATATTACTTATCATATTTTACGGGTAGGCTGCATATTGGCAAGAGTCTTTTGACTATTGGTTAAATATTTTACTCTGTCCGTTAAAGATTTATATATCGGTTAAACAATTTTGAGACAATCAATCAATAAATATTTAAAGAGGTCGTTAAGTGAAGTTATATTGCATGACAGTTTTAAACCTATGGTAATGGTAATATTAGCCGTTTCCTTATAAGGAAACATTTGGCATTCATTAACCGAGCAACCACTCAAAAGACGGGAGAGGCGTGTGAATCGGACGATAAGCGAACCTGTCTACTCTTATTACATATTATTTTGGCACATTATCATTATCAATTTCTTGTTTTTTGGTTTTTTTTTATCATAATACCCCATGAAAGGCAGCAAAGCCTCTGAGACACATTCAATATTCCTTAAATCGATGGACGTCAATTCGATATTTCTAGATTCTGTTAATATTTTTGTGATGGGAAGTTATTAACTTATTTACAGTAGGAATAATAATTAGGACAAAATATCAGTTGAAATTTATAAAATTTTTCCCTTAAAGTAAATTATCAGGAAAATAGATTCCTCAAGTCCAATAGTTGTTATCTATCTTTCCAGTATCGATGGGGGGGTGCTTTCTAAACTTTTATTTGAAGTAGTGTGGAACGCCATCATATTACGTCATTGTTTTCACTTCAAGTCCTAAAGCGAGACGGCAGAAATAAGAAAAACAAGTAACACTGGATCAAAATTAATGTTAATGTTATGTGTTGTTTTTCTCTGTCACTCTTGCCTTCAATCTGTCCTGTGAGTATCAAATATAGTTTATTATGAATAACAAATTCTACTTGGCAACAATAATAATGGTTTCTTAATAATATTTTTTTCTTATTCTTTTACACTCTGTATCCTCTTGTATTTTAGCAGCTTTATTGCATTGCTTGTTATAATTAAAAAAAAATAGACAGAAGGGACATGATAATGTGCAAAAATAATATGTAATCGGAATAGACAGGTTCGCTTATCGTCCGATTCACACGCCTCTCCGGTCTTTTGAACAGGAGTAATGTTTATCCCTTATTTCCTGTTTAGGACTAGGCTTCCAGTTTCTTTCTAAATTCTACTTCTAACACCTCCACCTAAACTCTGAAATTTATACTATTATTGGATTTCCGGTTCCTTCTAAAGTATTTACCTTCTATTTCATCATAGTAGTCCCCTTGCGTTTTAGTGGTATTATCTCCTTTCTTGGGTTGAATCGATTTTAAAAAAAAACTGAAAAATATATTGAAATTTGTCAGAACAAAATAAAGAAGAGCTATGGTTATAACTTAATTAATTTTATGTCCACGGTCTTTGAACAAGAATATGGGTTAATCCTTTCTTTTCGCGTTAGGATTGGGTTTCCGCTTTCTTCTGAAGTCTTCTCATTCGCTTTCACTCCCAGCAACCCCTTGCGCCTTAGCGGCATTATCACCTTCAGTTAAGTGCCATATGTGACACACGCTTAGGTGATCATTTCTCTTTCAATTCATGACTGACTAGGTAGACATTTTTCCCGCAGTAGGTTTCCGTGTCTTTCTGCGGTAGACTGGTTGTCAACCAGGTCTATCCTGCTATTCAACCCATAGCTGTGAGGAGAAGAGATGGATTAATACCATTCCCGAGGGTATTTGCGCGTGCTGTAGCCAACCCGAGTGTAATTCGAACATGCCTCGCCGATTTTTCATTCTGACTCGCTATGTATTACGCCACAACGCACATATTTTTTAAAAATGATGAGATTTATTGTAGCACTGGTTGCAAATATATTGAGCCAATTTTACTTATATTTTTTTAATCATAACAAACAATGCAATAAAGCTGCTAAAACATAAGAGGATACAGAGTGTAAAAGAATAAGAAAAAAAAGAAAAATATTCAGAAGAAACCATTATTATTGTTGCCAAGTAGAATTTGTTATTCATAATAAACTATATTTAAAATAGTTGATATCAACAAGATTTTTTAGGTACAGATAACTTTATAGCTAACAAAGTTGATGTGTGCCTCGTAACTTAACACGGACTCGGTCAATATAATTGTTCAGGTCGTTATGGCCAATGTGACCAACATGGCCCTCTTTACATTCAATATTCCTTAAATCGATGGACGTTAAATCGATGTTTCTAGATTCTGTTGATATTTTTGTGATGGGAAGTTATTAAATTATTTACAGTAGGAATAATCATGAGGACAAATTGACTTTTTCTTGTTTTTTTTTTTTTTTTTTTTTTTTTCATAATACCCCATGAAAGGCAGCAAAGCGTCTGAGATACAAGGGGCTACTGAGTGTGAAAAAATAAGAGAAACACTATTAAGAAGCGAGAACAATAGAAGACTAATCAAGACGACAGTAGACAACGATTGACCTTGCATTCAGATTTTTGAAGATCAAATTTGGCTGGAAAGCATGCAACTGGAAGAGAGTTCCACTAGCGAGAAGTGCGAGAAAAGAAACTGTTAGCACTTACGGTTATATCTATATTCAACTGTGAATTGATTAGACCTTGCAGCCAATCTAGAACTCCGCTTAAAATCATAAATTATGGGTAACATAGAGAAGATTTTATCTGAAGAATTCTATGTGCAGGAAGTCTTCAGTCCAAGAGCGATCCAAAATTCCCTGTTCGTAAGTTTTGATTTTTTTATTTTGTTTTATGCGTTTTCTTTTCGGAATCCTTCCTGTTCTGTTAATCATTCACACTAGGTAGTTTGTTGCATTTCAGAAAGAATTTTACTCTTTTAGTCATTAAAACTAAAAATATCCAAAGAAAACTCACGCGAACCAAAAGCAATAAACAAATGTTAAAGCAACACATTAGCAGCCTGATTACACCTATTTAATAATAAGACATACTGTTTTGAAGCTGTTGATATCAGCACCACAACAACACGACCACGGTGGCATGATGTGGCAAAATGCCGGTTTAAAGTGGGGGTATCGGATGCCAAAAATTGCCCTGTCCCAACAACCACCGTGGCGTTAGTGCAATGAGGCAGGTGCTACCGATTCCCCGAGACCAGGCATCCCTCAGTTATTTGTTCGAATCTATCCGAAGACAGAAACGCAATTGAAGAGTAAAATGTATCTTACCAGTGGTAAACGGACATATTAACCTCCGGCATTTTCACTTGTTTTTAGTTGAGTAATGCTTCTCATTACCTTTAATAGGGAGGGTAAGGATGTGTAACAGATATTGACAGTTACACCTCGCTTTATATTATGGAATAGATCACGAACTACCTCTTTAATTCCGATTTCGCGTTGTTTGTTCCTGCAGTCGAAGAGTAAACCGACCCAGATAATTTTGATCAAAAGCAACAATAATAAAATCAAGTAAAGACTGTAATCAAATAATAATGAAATATCGTTTTGTTCAGCTTTTACTCATCTGTCTTATCTTTAAAGTGACTACATTCCAGTGTGTGCGAGCAAGAGAGAAAAAGTAATACATATCGCTATGTTCGAAGATGTTGCCTGTATGCCTGCATGAATATTTATTCCTTTGCTTTTCATTCTTTCAGTCAATCTGACTTCGTATTTCTTTCATATCCTTAGAATCTTTGTCTGCTTCCTACTATTTCATTTTTATCACGCACCTCATTCAATAACCCTCTACCATGAGTGGCTCTTTGGCCATGTATTGGGGAAAATTTAATAAATAAATGTATATAAAATATATAAACAAACGGAATTTATTTATTCTTTTTCTTATTAATATTTTATTTCCTTTGATTTCTGAAGCATAGTCATTTCTTCCTGGGTCCCAACCGGAGACCATAGGTCAGAAATGGCATTATGACATTTTCCACTGACCATTTTTTAAGGTAAAAAAAAAAAAAACTAGCTTTTTCTTGACTTCTTCTTCTTTTCTTCTTCTTCTTCTTCTTCTTCTTCTTCTTCTTCTAATAATAATAATAATAATAATAATAATAATAATAATAATAACTAGCAGCATGGCCCGGCGTTGCCTGTGCTTGATTCAAAATCATTACGACTCATACAGCAATCGCTATCACTTGACTTAAAATATTTTTGCCCTTCCTTGCCTTTACATGAGTGCCCTTTGCTGTGCTGATGTTGCTACATGCCTTACTTCTTGCCTATCTCACACTGCGAATTTTTCTAAGCTCTATACTAAACATTAAATCTGTTACGAAAAAAAGAACTAAACAAAATGAACAAAAACGATCAGCTTTAAAAAGACTCGTAACTCTAAAAACCGAATGAAAAAGAATGTTAACAACAAATAGTTTTTTCACACCAACCCAGTTCTGCGGAATCAAAATCAACGTTGAGTTTAAGCAAGCGAATGAGCCAATTGGAGTAAAGTGCCATGCAGATTTAAATTTTTCCCACTTGTGACAAATGTAGCTATCGATTTTTTTTGCCTGCTAGCATCCTAGTTAACATTCGTGTCAGTCAGCTGTTGGCTCTCACGCTGGCCAATAGAATCTTCCTGCCTATTCGTGGCCGTAGAAAATGGCCGGAAAAGTGCCGTAGAAGCATGAAAAAATCGATTATTTCCACTATCGATGGGAGTTGTGAAATGCAAAGTTGGTCTTGGCCTTTCCGCTAACTTGGAGCATATGCATGTAAATTTTGGTGCATTCGTTACACACACACACACACACACACACACACACACACACACACATCCTGCCTTTTATAGATAGAGATAATATCTCAATTTATTAAGTTTTTTCTCATGTCTGAGATAGCTGCCGATATCTCGTCAACCTTAGTGGTCGATGTTCGAGGTCAGTTAAAAGTGTCGATTTCCCATGCTGGCTTTCAAGGGTGACAGGCTGTTTTGTCGTAGATGATGATGCAACATTGGCGCTTCAGAAACCCACCCTCCACACACACACACACACACACAACCCAATGTGGCCAGACAAACTTTCATAAATATCTATATTTTTAATTTCTTTTTTTCTCAATTTTATTCGCATTTACTTGTTGCGATGTTTGCTACACTATATATCTATGTATCGCGAACTATGTGTATTTTTTTATTCGGCTCAGTGGCTAAGATAGTCGCGATTTTCACTTCGACACTTGTAGACCTTATTCGACCTCGGGAATAAGCCAGAATCGAGACAGTTTTACTTCCGCTTTGTTCAGTCCTCCTTCTCCTCCTCCTCCTCCTCCTCCTCCTCCTCCTCCTCCTTCTTCTTCTTCTTCAACTGGCGATGATGATGATGATATCAGATCAGATTATTTTTTTTTATTTTCTTATGACGTTGCTGTTAATGATGACAGTTATGCCAGAGTTGTTCTTTTCTTTTAGTTATTCCGCTACTCCTGCTACTGATGGTGAAGCTGCATTTTATTTATACCTTCTTTTTTAAACGTTTCTTCTTCTTCTTTTTCTTCATCTGCTGCTGCTACTGATGATGATGACGACGATGAAGATGATGATGATGACGATGATAATGACAGTGGTGATGATGATGATGACGATTATGATGATGGTGGTTTAGGGATAATGATGATGAGTTTTATCATGATGAAGCTGTCGCTTTTTCCATATACCTTATTCACGTCTTTTCTTATCTGCTTTGGCTGTTGCTACTAATGCTGATGCTGCTGATGATGACTATGATAATGATGACGACTACGACAACGACGACAACGATGATGATGATGATGATGACGATGATGATGATAATGATAGTGATGATAATGATGATGGGGTTTGCGATGATGAAGCTGTCGCCTTTTTCCATAAACCTTGTTCGCGTCTTTTCTCATCGGCTTTTGCTGTTGATGCTGCTGACGCTGATGATGATGATGATGATGATGATGATGATGACGTCACATTCTCATTTCCTATAATTCATCTGCTCTTTTTTGTTACTTTTTGCACTACTTTTTTTGCATTTTGTGCTTTCCTTTTCTATTCCTTTTCTATTCTTCTGTTCTTTGCCTATATTACTCTTTTGTTTTTCGCTTTGTTATTTTTCCATTCGCTCACTCATAAACACTTAATACATTGATGTAGTTGATGAAAGTTTAAACATACAACAAATGATACACCTACGTAACTAATCTTGTTCATATCTGTCTAACCTGCTGGCTAAATCTTGTTTCCTGTTTAGGATTAGGTTTCCGGATCTTTCCAAAGTTCTTTTTAATTCTATTGCATTCCCAATAGCCCCTTGTGTCTTAGTGGAATTGTCACCTTGTTTGAAGTGAACTGATAAAAAAAAAACTATGTCAGTCTATTCATACAACTCCACTTATCTCGGTTTGTTCGATCGATTGATAAATATAAACAATCTAAATCTACTTATGTAAGTACTATCTATCTATCTATCTATCTACCAATATCCATATATATATATATATATATATATATATATATATTCGACAGGAGATTCAGTATATATATATATAAATATATATATATATATATTATAATTAAAAATATGATTCCAACACTACATAAGGTATTCTCAGTCTGTTCATATCTATCCCCAGTATATATATCTATATATTTAACTATCTATTTATCTATCTATCCAATACTTGATAAAATTATTTTTACTTTTTACTATTTTCAATTGTAACAATTACTACGAGGTTTGATCAAAAAGTATCGGACTGTTGTTATGGTAACGGGGCTAAAGTACTGACCAATAAGAAAAGGATGAAAGAAAATAATCTTTATCAGGTGCCGCGATTAAAGGACTTCGGATTTTTACACTGAGGTTATTTACGTCCGTTGGAACTGAAATTTAACCTTGTTCAAAAAACTCTGTTTAATATAAAACACTGACGAAGTAGCCGAAAATTTTGTAGTTTCCAAAATCGTCTTTTATGTACCATGTTCCTTCAGGACGTAGGCGATCATGGCCCTCCACCTCCTCCTGTCTGTTCTAGCTCTTAATAAGTTTTGTCTTTTTGCTATTTCTTCCAGACCCTGTTCCGTCATCCACTTGCTCAAGCCCATTAAGTATGTCTACGTTGCTTTCCTCTATCCCTCTATTCGTCCTGTGAGTATTACACTTTCCAAGCCCTCTTTTCTCATTACGTGTCTCAGAAATTTCAGCTGCCTCTTCCTGGTGTTAAGTATAAGTTTCCTCTTTGTTTTTTTTTTTTTTTTTTTTTCTCCAAAACCTCGTCATTTCTTGCATATTCGGTTCAGGATATCCTTGGCATCCATCTGTAGAACCACATTTTTGTTGCATTGAGTCTCTTCTTCATCTTTGAGGAAATTGTCCAACATTCGCTGTCATACAGGAGGGCAGATATCACGTAACAATTCAGTACTCTTTTCTTTGTTTCCAAAGAAATTTTTCTTTCTCTTAATACTCTGCTTAGCTTTTGGAATGCGTCTTTGGCCATCCCAATACGTCACCGGATCTCAGTGTCGCACTTTCCGTCTTCTGTTAAAACATTTTCCAGATATTTAAATTTTCGTACCTGCTTGATTTTAGTGTCCTCGAACTGTAAATTGCATTTTTGGCTCTTTGTTTTTGTTTTTTTTTTGCTGATGACCATGCACTCTGTCGTCTTGTAGTTTATATTTAGTCCCTTCTTCACGCTCTCCTTTGCTACATTATGTAGGAGGTTTTGTATTTTCCCTTTTCTATCAGCACTGGGTCATCTGCATATCTTATGTTTTTAAGATTGTGGCCGCCAATAATGAATCCTGGTAGAGTTTACAGTTCTCTCAGAATTGACTCGCTGTATAGGCAGAATAGGTCCAGTGAGAAGACATATCCTTGCCTTACAGCCCTTTCTATTATCTGCTGAACTCATTGTCTATCCGTACGCAGACAATTTGCTGCCAGTAGAGAGTGCTTATTATTCTGATCTCTTTCCCGAATATGCGAATGTTGTTGCGTAGCGAACTTTTTCGAACGCCTTTGCGTAGTTCAAAAACTTACGTCAACTAAATAATATATAAATATGTGTGTGTGTGTGTGTGTGTGTGTGTGGATTCCATTACATTCACTTACGTGCTAATACCCTTGGGAAAGATATGAATTCTTTTCTTCTCCCTCCAGCTATGGCTAAATAGCAGGACAGACTGGGTTATATAGCCTTGGATGTCAACTGGTCTAGGAGAAGGACAACTCTGAATTCAAAACCCGTGGGGGGTCAACTGTGGACCTTGTGGCATGTAGTGCACCAGGTCTCTGTATTCGACCCTTCAAAAAGTGTGCATGGTTCTGCACAAAACCTCCGCCACTATAATCAAATCTCATGTACTGGTGTCGGACTGTCGATCCATAGGAAATGCTTAACCCTCATACGTCGAATTCGACGGAAGAGTCGAGTATACATATATATATATGTGTGTGTGTGTGTGTGTGTGTGTGTGTGTGTGTGTGTGTGTGTGTGTGTGTGTGTGTGTGTCATCAACAGTCTCTTTATATCTGTGTATAGATCTATCTACACTTTCTCGAGTCATGTGCATAGTCCAGTCAGATCGAGATTTCATATGTACGTCCGACATGACACGAAACCGTTTCAGAAATATCTAAACTTTCGGCTGTATACGACCGCTTTCTCAGATCAATGGTTAAAAATGGCTTTGAGCGAATGAAACTTGAGGGTTTTGGCAAAGACAGACGCTACTGAACAAAAACAACAAACTGTACAGAAACTACATCATTTAAGGACGTTCAACAGCAGCAACATCTAAAATGGATATCACATGTAAATCGAAAAGAAAATAAGAACATAATCAAGGTATTGATGTTAAACAATACTTCAATCAAAATGTTAGGATGGGAGAAACCGCATCAATACTGGAAAGGAAATGATCTGCTTGACACTCATACGTCGAATTCGACAGAAGAGTCGATATATATATATATATATATATATATATATATATATATATATATATATGGGGTGTGACGTCCCTCAGCCTTCGCTCGCTCCTCGCTGCTTCGTTAGGGTGTCGCCGCTCCAAACGTGACGTCCGCCTGTCTGCGTCAGTCGTGTTGTCCTGTGACGACCATCTGGCTTGGTATTGGTCGCGGCACCCAAATGTGACGTTCTAACCTTTTGGTGATTCGGATGGGAATCTGGTTAGATCCGATATCAGCCTCGTCGTTCCCAACTCGCTTCCAACGTCTGGTTACCAAAGTAACTGCGTTGATCTCTAGTCCGCCTACCCACGTTGTGAATTGATCTTAGGCAGACGAAATCAATCAGTCGTTGGGGCCGTAATGCAAGTTGAGTTCAAACGAGGGTGGTATCACACAAATATGGGTAAAAGAAAAGAAAACTCAAAAGTTCAAGGTATCAAAAAAAAGGATAATAATACTTTATATCTGGTTGCTGGATACATAGGACTGCGTCTATCTCCCGACCCGCTATATGGATTGTGACACGTTGTTTTTGTTAGGTGAGTTTTAACATCTTAAGTTGTCTGTTCTTTAAGAAATTGGTTCTTGGTGTGTCATCAGGCGATAGTCGTAAAACTTATTTTGGTGGTATGGATCTAAGTCGCGCTTCAAAAATAAATTGTTCTTGGATTGAAGGTGAGTTCGGAAGTTGCGCGAATCTTTCAAGTCAGCTGATGCGAGGCGGGAAGCTGATCCGAACTGGACTGAACTCTCTCTCTGGGAAAACTCTGATTTTCGCTCGCTGCGACTTTGCTTATATGGACGCCGACCAAAACCGGGTTGGGCTTTGTTGGGGTTTGAGGTTCCTTGATAATTCCAAATCCACAATCCTTCTTTTGTTTTCGGTCAGGAAAATTTATTATTTCCATTTTTGGAAGTCTTCTCTTACCCCTACCTTCAGAGGAGCGTCAACGATCCTCCCACTTCTTCGCAGTAACATCTTATACCTATCCTCTCTAAGGAGTAGTGGCAGGCCTCCTCCCCTGCATCACATGATCACCTCCGCCTGGCTCTCGTTAATATTCATCCAATGGTCGATCAACAGTGTGGGCGTGACCAGACTAGCCTTGTATCTTAAAAAAATATCTTGCTCAAAGAAAAAAAAAAGAATTATCTCCTCTTTTTTCTTTTCTTATTTTTTTATTTCCTTTCCTTCTTTTCTTTTCTATTCTCTCTTCTTCTCTGGCCGCCAACAGAACAATGCGACCAGAAGTGTGATAACCTCAATTCTCATCTGGACTTCGTCAGTCAGATTTTCGCCAATTATCAGAATGGGTGGTCGTCCAGCAATTACGGCCAACCCTTCCGATAATATTGTTTCGCTCTTCTAACAAAACCCAGACCTTGTCTAACGATATATTTCCCTCGAGAAAGACTTAACCTATTTTCCTTTGTTCTCGTGGGTGGTCAGGCAGTCCGTGACACAGTTAAATGTTTATCTATTCTGTCCCGGAGTTTAGCTAGCCGATCTGGAATTTGTCAATTAGATTTTTGCCAGCACCAAGTGGCTGTTATCCATTGTGCATAGTCCAGTCAGATCGAGATTTCCTATATACGTCCGAAGTTACTGGATTTTAGATACCTATTTTCCTGAAGAATTGTCTTAAGAGAAAGATTTTTTTTAATTTCAACCGACACTAGTATTGGCCGCTCGATCAATGATGCCATTTTTTTTTTCGTTATAAAGAAACAGCTAATAATATCATTACGTTAAGCAGCTGTCTATCTATCTATCTCGTAAGTTTGTGGTTGAAAGGTAGCAATTGTTTCCAGACTAGAATTTTCATTTTGGTGGGCATGAATAATTCGCTCGATTTCAATACATTCTTGATGATTAAGATGATGACGACGACGACGATGATAATGCTAATGATGGTGATGATTATGACGACGACGACGATGATGATGATGATGATGATGATGATAATAATGATGGCGTTTATCATGATGATGATCTCGCCTTTTTTCCATAAACCTTGTTCGCGTCTTTTCTCATCTGCTTTGGCTGCTGCTGCTGCTGACGCTAATGATGACGATGACGTCACATTCTCATTTCCTATAATTCATCTGCTCTTTTTTTAACTTTTTGCACTCCTTTTTTTTTTTGCATTTTGTGCATTCCTTTTCTATTCTTCTGTTCTTTGCCTATATTACTCTTTTGTTTTTCGCTTTGTTATTTTTCCATTCGCACACTCATAAACACTTGATGTAGTTGATGAAAGTTTAAACATATAACAAATGATACACCTACGTAACTAATCTTGTTCATATCTGTCTAGCCTGCTGGCTAAATCTTGTTTCCTGTTTAGGATTAGGTTTCCGGATCTTTCCAAAGTTTTTTTCCCTTCTATTGCATTCCCAATAGCCCCTTGTGTCTTAGTGGCATTATCACCTTGTTTGAAGTGAACTGATAAAAAAAAACTATGTCAGCCTATTCATACCACTCCATTTATCTCGGTTTGTTTATATTTATCAATCGATCGCTCTATCTAAATCTACTCCTTATGTATGTATACATCTATCTATCTATCTATCTAAATATCTATCTATCTATCTATCTAGATATCTATCTAGATATCTATCTATATCTAGATATCTATCTATCTATCTATCTAGATATCTATCTAGATATCTATCTATCCCGTTGTAGTTTATGGTTAAAAGTAATTGTTTCCTGACTAGAATTTTGATTTTGGTGGGTATGACTAATTCAGTCCACTTTAATACATTCTTACTCTTCTTCTGAGTCGGTGGGGTTGTAAACCTTCATCTTATTCACTTGGTTTAAGCAGCTATCTAACTGGGTGAGATCGGTGGTTTCATGGTGTCAACTTTGCCTTCAGAAAGAACTACTGCTGGATCCCACAGCCGAGGAAACAGTTAAACGTCGAACCAGCAACCTAACCTCGAAATATCTATTGCAACTAACAACATGTCTAGTGAATGTCATAGAAGCTTCGAAAGATGAGGAGAACCAAAAAGAAAATAACTTTTGTCATCATCACGGTGCTGCTGCTGCTGCGATAATATAAGCGTAAGTGATGAAGGTGATTGCAATACAGATATTGAGGCTGTGTGTCTCTTATCTGCCATTAACTTTTTCGTGTTATTTTCAGAATATTCACACGATTAATGGCTTGTTGAGAGCGATATGATAAAAGAAAAGGCCCACACGTAAAGGAGGGATGGCTTCACACAGGAAAAGAGCGCGAGATAAGGTTCAGCTTCCCACTATTCACGTTTTTACTTTATATTTCATGATGGAATAAACGTTCAATTCGTCTTTAAAGATCGCCTCCATTCTGACATTTGCTTATTCTTCTTCTTGTTTCGTTTTT